CCATGCTGGTATTCAGTGCTGTTACCAAAACATGGCACACACATGGATCCATGTCGGGAGATACGTGGTAGATATTCATCCTAATTAAAAAAAAATAAAACTATTTCATCATTTGCCACCTACAGAAGAAAGCTGCATGGATCTCCACTTCAATACTATTATATCAAAGCATCCAGGAACTCCCAAATTCCCTCTAACGCATACATGCTATTACATGACAGGAGATAAATGCCGTCAGTCAGAGGGACTCACCTGGCTACAGAGTCACTGACTCCTCCTCACATAAACCTTAATCCCCACTGGCTAAGGCACTGAAAAGCATCACCCAAATTGGAAGAAACAAAGAAAAGGGAATTTCCAGAGGCTGATTTCACGGTCTTGATGAGCCTCCCCTTATCCTCAAATTGCAGAGGGCTATGAAAAGTCCCTTTCCTACGCCACTTGAGTCTTTCAAAATATTTTTTTTCCCCTCAGTGCCCAGCTGAACAGGGTTATTATGACTCTCAGTTACATATACAAATATTCTCACACATACTGTAAATGCTCCAAATCACTCTGTGTAATAGGCTGACCCCTGGAACACTAAAATTTATTTAAATTCCTTTACAAGTGAGGAGAAAAAAAGTGTGACTGAAGATAGGAAGGAGTTTTCCTTTGATACAATGTCAGAACTGGAACACAGTAACATACAGGGTTTTGAAGAAGTCAAACCTAATGATGCCAGTCTTGCAAGTGAAATCCTAGGATGACATTCATTGATTAAAAAAAGAAAGTGAAAAAAATGTAAACAAAGACATAGGTCAATCAGATCTTCATCTACCCCAAAGCATACGGAAAAGGATAAAAGCAACTATTTTCTTTAAAAAAAACAATACATAAAGAATATGAAAAAGGTAAAGAAGTATGAAACGACGAGGAAAGGACTACGTATTTATACGTATAAGAGAAATTCTATATTTCTGTTACCTAGGACAAGAGTCCTATTGTCCTGTACTTAGGACATCCTATTTCAGGATATGAATGAATAAGAAGTTACAATATGGAATTTTTATTTTTGCAATAATAAATACTGTTTTGGAGGAGCAGTCCTTATTTTTAACTAGAATATTTACAGTTTTCCGTTGTGTCTCGACAAAGAAGTTGCCATTTCCACCAGAAACATTTCAATGGAGAATAAAGATGCATCCCTGTTACTTCTTTGCAGTCTCCCTATTTATAGTTTTCAGATGTTAGCACAAATGAGCCTGATGAGAGCATCATTTCTCCATCTGAACAAGCTGGTATTGGTCTCCATTGGAACAAGGTCAGTAAATTAGAGGAGCAATTCCTATGTTTTCACAGCTGTTCCCCTTAAAATTTATGTATAATACAGTACAGACTATAAAATACCTTATGAAGTCTCCTTCCAATGTGTAAACGTTATTTATTGTCAACTGAAACATGTTCTGCGGTTGCCATTGGGTTTGTATCAGCTCCCTCTGCTGGCTGAAACGCACCAAGTGTCATTTAGTTGAGATTTTTTTTTTTCTCTTCTCCAAAAATTGTGGTAAGTAAAGAACTGCATCGAAGACCACTGCACAGCATAGAAATATTTCCTTTTACAATCCACCCAGGAAAGTTTGCTAGCTCAAACCTCACTACAGCAGTAGCAATACTCCCAACCCAAAGGATTAAAAAAAGAAGAAAGCCACATAACACAGAAGGGAAAAAGAAAATATATGTCCTTTATAAGGAAAATAGGTATGCTGACATGCTGGAGAAAGAGAATACAAAAGAAATACCACTTGGTGGTACTATCTGAGAAGAAAAATTCAGTTTCAGAAGAAATTCAGAACTGAATTTCAGAAGAAAAATTTCTGTCCAAAATTTTGAAACTGATTTGGGAAGCTATTTTGGCACTTAACTATTTCTATTAGTTAATGACTCTTCTATATATTACATTCAGGTAATAATTACCTAAAATGTTTCTAAACATATTGAAAACGTCTAAATAGATTTTTGGATGTTCTTTGATAGCAGTCTGAGGACCTTTTTCTAAAGTTTATGGGAAATTTCAGCATGAATTATTCTAACTTTTATGAATTGGTTAGTTTGGAAGATGGGAATTTCTTTAGTACTTGGATATCTGCACTCACACAAAGCTGCAGAAAAACATTAGTTACTTGCCTGTCTTCAAATCATAGACTACTTTTCTCTTACAAAAATAATCAACCAACCATCATGAAAAATAGTATAGCCAAAGAAGCAAATACCTCACAAGCCAGTATCTCAGAGCAAAGCACTGTAAAACTGCCCAACTATGATTTGTTTTTCCAGCTCTTACTTGCAATGTATTGATTTTAATTTTGATATGAAGAATTATACCAGAGGTTTCAGTCACAGGGTAGAAGTTTTAATCTAGCCTTGACTACAGAATTTCGTATTTGTAAAGGAAAGACACCTTTCTACATCTTCTACATATTCCTTAACCTGCCTAAAATTTCAGCTGAGGATGAAGTAACTATTTTTTCCTCTCTTCTAAACTGACATGAGATGTCAAATTCCTCTAAATTCAAGTTCCTATAAAATCACTCCAGTCTCTGCGTTTTGTTTTCATCCCCTTCCCCCCACTTCTGTGTCCATTTTCACTGAGAAGGCGACAAATGATAAATATATCAATCAAAAGAACCAAATAGAGCAGTAAACTGACTACACCATATAAAATTACTGTCTTAGCCATAAGATCAAATGTACCCAGCGCTTATAGCTAAGAGCTAACAGGTTTTCCCTTAGTTCCAAAGATTCTTATCTTCAGTATGGTGCAAGCTTCCTCATGCCAGAGATTGCAGTCTGGTTATGAATGAAAAGTCTGAGACAAAAGTAACAGGCCCTGACATTCACACATTTCTGCACAATGGGTTACAACTTAAACATGGGTATAAATAACTGAATAGAAAAATATTTCTCTCATGTAATATTACCTCCACTTGGTCTTTGTTCCACTCAGACAGTTCCTTCTGGAATTATTTAGATTTCAGTTATTTTGATCAGGCAACCAGAATATAAAACACAGAAACAGTCCCAAGTGCAATTTCAAAATTGCACATTCAATTTTTTTCCACAAGGCTCTTATGAAGATGATCGTAAGAAGTTTTCATACTGCAAAGCTCTATCAGTATTTCAACTACAACTGAAGCAAAACCGGATGCTTTAGACCATGCTCAGGTTTAGAATTTATGCACGTTGCCCAACAAAGACAACTTTACACATTGTGCACCGTACCCCTATTCTTTCTTCAGCAGTATAGAAAGTCAACTGGACTTTTGTTCTTTAGAGAAACAGACACGTTTTCCAGCACATAGCTAACTTCAAATTCATCAGCTATTACCATTCTCCAATAACATCGCAAATCTTTCCTTGGGGAAAAAAAAGGTGAGGAAAAGAAACAAGCAATCTACAAAGCAATGAATCGGATTGTTACACATCATGTATTTCTAGAAAGAAGATGTCAGTAAACATTTCTGTAACTTTCCTCCCAGTTATTAAAATCCTATCATTACTATTATTCTAAATTATTATTATATTATAAAATTTGCAGAGAAGAACTAGTCTGTCATCGGGACCAAATATTCATTAACAATAATTTCAATAATCAGATCCATCACACATAAGTTTGCAGAAATTCCATGCTGCAAGAGTGTCGATGTTATAACTTTATGGCAGATAAAATCTTTCCTTCTGAATGCCTAAAATCCTGCTCAAATAAAAAAAATGTACACAAACATAAAGCATTCAGAAATGGCATTTTCATAATGTAGTATTGTACATTTTTCTCTTGCAAATACCCTGATTATATTCATAAACAGGCCTATGGGAAAAGAACAGCAAACAAACAAGATTGGGCAAGTCTGCAAGATTTCCATTTCCTGTTACCAAAGTGGCATTGGAAGCTGTATTTGACACCACGTAGCTCACAGGACATGTGCAGAGACAGGAATGTTTGTGAAGTGGAAGAAGCAGTGACAGCATGAAGTGGGAAACACCAGTGCAGGCAGCACGAACCCAGTGAGAAAAGCAGTGCTTTGTGATTACCCCAGTTTTTCCTCAGGCATCCAAACCCATCAGGCAATCCCTGCCAAGCTCCTGTCACCCATTGGCAACCACATTAACGACGGTCTACAGCTCTGTATTATTAGAATAAGCTAGTTTTAGTTATAGAAATGAGGATTTGGCAGAACTGCTCCAAGCATACACAAATTATACCAATCAATTACTATTTGGAAAACAAACTGGCTTATATTTACCACTGATCAATGATACAGCAGTATACTTAATGACACCCAAGCTCCTGCAGAACATGCAAGCTGTGCCAACAAAATATACAAACTTAAGAGTCTTGGACATCTACCTAGAGCTCTTTAGCTGATGCCCCTGGACTCTGATGAGTTTACTGTGTATGTATCACACACCTATAAGTATCAGCTGCAACAGATGAATACTCCAATACAGGCTTAGGATGAGATGAAGAATGGAAAAATTCCTTTAAAAAGACATTCATTTACAGAAGGTTGGAGCTCTTAAAAGGAAAAAAAAAAGACAGAATAAAAACTGGATGCAGCTGCAACAACTCACATCCATGAGCATTAGTATGATAAAGTTTTTGGTAAAACAACCTCACTTGATGAGACTTGTGATAGAACTAGAATTTAATCATGCAGCTCATTAGCTGAGCAAGCTGCTTACTTTCAGATAAAATTTTATTCTGCTAGCTTTCAAGAATGTCTTTCCATTTTCCCCACATTTTTCTGCAGAAGTTTACAGTTGTTTTCAAATTCAACATTTTTCACTTATATTTTTCCCAAATTAAAAGTATTACTATGTGACTGATCACTTGATCTTTACCTATGTACAGCATAACACATGTTGCTATAGCACATTACTGCAAGCAAAGTGCATGCACACAAAGTACAAGATCAGCAACTTACCCGAAACCTCTTTCACCCCAACTACAGAATTCCTACCTCGTGACAGGAGAAGAGCCGAACTCCTTCCATCTGATGGAAGACTGGGAAGTGGGTGTTATCGATTGTGTCACGGCGGTAGACATCTCCCACTGCCAGAAAGGCGTCTAGGCCAGAGTTTATCAAGTCCCACTGATGAGCTGATGTATGTGCTCTTAGCATGTGATCACGGTTCAAGTAATAGTTATCCTCTTTCCTTCTGCTGGCATGGTTTTGAGGGATAAGCAAACTATCAAAATTCTGTTGTACTGTAACCACTGGAGAAAGACCGTCATAAACGGAGAAGAGTGGAGTCCCCCGGCGTCCTGTATACTGTTTGTAAAAGTGGTCCTTCACCTGCTCCTTGATTAGCCACAGAGGGTGATGCTTTTTGTTGTGCAAGTTCTTCCCCACCTTGGAAAGAATCTTCTCCGTGACGTTGCTGTAGTCATCCTGAGGATAAGCTTTACCAAACAGTTCCACAGTATTTGAGCAGGGTGTGTTGGCAGCAAAATCTGAAGGTACAGACTTGGATGAAGAATGTCTTGAATGGGTGGGGATCCCTCTTACCCTTACTTTTGGTGATAAAGCTGTTTTGGAATATTTCGCTACTCTCATGAATTTCCAGAGCATTGCCATTGTAAACTTTCTTATGGTCTAGAGAAAGAAAGAAAAAAGAAAATTAAAAATAGAGTTAGGAATTGCAATCTTGCTGCAGGAATTGTTAGCATCTCAGGGATAAGTGAAATCCAAATGTCTGTTTGATATGACACAGTTCCCATTATGCATCACTATTGTGACTTTAGAGTGGAGGAGGAAATAACCTTGTGAGCAAATTTCAGCTAGGACATCCATCTTATACAATTATCAGTCTCCTGCGTCACTGCATCAGTATTAATGACTCTAGACCTAGCCTCAATTCCATTCCAGATACTGCTACTCTTTGTAGCTGAATAAACATCAGGCCTTCTTTAAAACAGTCTTTTTCATTCAGCTTAAATAGGAAGCAATAACTGAATACTACATATGAAAAATTCAGAAATTTAACAACAGCCTTCATCAATCAGAGACTTGCTTATAATAAAACCCCAGGCATTAACTTACTGCTGTGTTTTCTCCCCTCAGTAACAGAAGCTACAGAAGAAGCTCCAGATCAACCAGATGCATGTGGCACACACCACGCAGTCATCATTAATTCTTACTTACTTAATGCCAAATAAAACCAGTTTAACCTTTGAAACCACTAAACTACTGGGAAAAAAACAGATGGCCAGATCACAAGACATATTTATATATAAACAGCATATTAAGTTCACATATGAGTAGTGCATAAGATTCACGATAAAGGCTCCACATAGTCAGAACCAACGTTAGCATTCTGAGGCGAGCACAAAACCCCCGTACGTTCCCAGAATGGCTACTTTCACAGCTTACACCGCTGTACTGGGAGGGAAGGCTTGCTGAATATCAGGAAGGTGAACAAAGTGATGAAATTCTGAAAGCCATCTGAACTGAACAACTCATTCCCTCTTAAAGGACAATCTTTGCATGTTTGCCCTGTTTACAAACAGGCTTTGTGCTCCATGTGCACACAGCTACATTACTATCAAGTGTTCAAGGAGATCACTACAAAAAACAAAGAGTTTTTAGGATCACAAGCCCTTCAGTCACTCCAAATGCATAAGCCCATAAGCCCATTCTGAGATGCAAAATCATTTGAAAACCTATAGTTGGGTTTCACAAATATTAGCACAGGTTCCAGTACAATGATTAAGCATTACAATTTGCCTATTATTGAATGGAAAAACCAAGCATTAGAAGTTAAGTGACTGGGGAAAGGCATTTGTTTTAGACCACAGACTAGTTTGTAGTTCTCTATGAACCAAGAAATCCAGGGCCACACACTTCCTAGGTGAAAGAATTTCCCCGTGAAAGTCTTCTTAAAGAAATAGGGAAAGAAAGGACACAAGCAATGAATAAAGCACAGTCTTCAAGAGAGAAAACTTTCAAACGTTACAGTAAGATTACAATATATGGCTAACTTTACACAGAAACATAACAGAAACAATTGTAAAAAAAACCTTAAACGAGATTATTTTTCATACTCTTAAGCTCCAAAATATATACACAAATAGAATAGACACAGTCCAGAATAGACTCCCAAAGTAACAGACCTGTAAAAGACAACAGGTATGTTCATATTTGGCTTCCTTTCTTCTGGTTTACGCCTGGATGTTCTCTATAGGTCTATTTCCTGAAGTAATTGCATCTCAGTAGATCAAAATAAAGGCAAGTTGAGTAGTCAGAAATTAAAACTGATCTAAGATTACTAAATATTTGGTTTAAACCTTTTACTGGTCAAATACCTTAAGAAAAAAGAGCAGCTCTAACTTTTATCTAGTTTTGAAACTTTTAAGGACGATTGAATTTTTGAGTTTGTTTTTTTAAGAGTTTGCAAAAGTATTTTACCAAATTAGTTCTTGGCCATTGCTGAAAAGGTTCTTTCACAAATGAATTCACACACACACGTACCAGAAACCCCTCTGACATAGACTGAACGAAAGATAGCCTTACATTTTGAAAAGAGGCTCAATTTTCCCCAAACAGATGTTGTTCTTCATGGAAAGGGAGTTCTCATTTTCAAACAGCTGGTTTAAATACCCAGTTCTAGTCAGATAATGAATTCAGTTTCCCTTAAGTAAATATCACCATCTGCCCATACATTTATTTTTCTAAAAAATTCGATTCAAAACTTATAAAAAATTGTAATGTACAAAAAACTCTCGTGACTTTATCATGAGTATAGTGATGTTTGCTGCTTTCCTAAATACCATTCCTTTGAAAATCAGACAACCATATAGTAAGTTTAACTTTCACATAAACAGTTCTTCTTATAACTTTATGGAAAAAAGAAATTAGAACATGAACGAGAAGTGTTGGATTGGGGGAAGTGACTTTTATTTAAGACTTGTGATTTTTAAGGTAGAGCCTAACGTATACATCTCTAAGGTCTTACCTGATGATTTTTCAGTATTTGTAATGAGCAATACTGCTATCAGTTTCCGAAACAGTGTTCAGAAACACTAATTTTTCTGAACTAGTGATATATATACTCTTCACAAATGTACCTGAGAAAAAACTACAGATGAACTTGTATCAGAGTTTTCATCCTAACATTATGCTTGTGCCTTAAACACTTAAAGTGTCTTAATACCTGCACTACCATTCTAATCTAAAGCAAAATCTACTGTGAGCGTTAAGGAAACAAGTTACAGTTATCCAATGTTATCCAATGAGTTATCTAATTTCCAAGTATTGCAAACAACAGCAACCACTAAAGGAGCCATCAATGCGGTATCACATGAGAGCGTCAGAAACACTGAAGACCTTCACCAACACTGTCCTGCTCCCCTCTCCCACCACAGACTCATGTACACTGCTTCCAGGTCATTACAGAAAAATGCTATTGGACTTAGTTCATCTCAACTGGTGATAAATTACATTTGGCAAGAGAAGGCACAGAGAAAGAAGAAAAAAGGCATGTTTACACTTTTTTTACACCATACAAGAAAGCTTCAAATAAAATGTTTACCAGGCAGAGAGCAACACTGTAAAATAAAGAAAACTCTTTACCTTTCTGCTAGCAATAAATAACTGATGTTAAGGACACACTAATTACTTATGTTCACTTGTGATAAATAGGCAGTTATTTCTAGTAGACTTCCATCTAAAGATCTGAAAAAAAGCACAGTTTAAATCGATCATTTTCTTCCTTCATTTCCACCATGATTATTTGGCAGTAAAACAAAACTGGTTTCTGTGCACACTGACAAAACCTGAATCCCACAGCAAAGACTGCCAGCCAGCTAACAGCCACAGCAAGCCAAACAGCAGCTGTAGGTCCTGTTGCTGAAAACAAATACATAAATGGGAAATAAACACTGAAAAACCACCACTGGCATCTACGATCCAAAGATAGCAAAGTGCTCCACCAGCATCACCAGTGGATCGTGTGCTCTGGGCTGAGAGTGGCTCTGACTTGCAGCAGGGAGCCGACACAGGGTTTTGGAAGCAGGCTGCCCTGTCAGGAGCTCCCTGGGGGTGCTTCTCAAAGCACTGCAGGTGGACATGCAAGCACCAGGCCCACCATCTCCTATTACACTGGTTCTTACCTTGATACTGCCACTGCCACCTTCCCAGGTGACTCAGCAGCTCCCCTGAAGCTCCTGTACCTCAGTCTCCATACTGAGATGTCTAACACAACTGCAGGAATTCAGATCTTTGATAGGGATGATACCATACATTATGTTTTGGCAACAAATTTGGAACCACGCCTGCACATGGGTATGAACTTTTGGACAGCTTCAAGGCAGACCAGAGGGCAGCAGGCAGCAGCCATACCACCCATCTATGAAGGCATCAGAACAACCCTGTTTGTGCTGTGAACAGACCAGGCATAGATGTGACCTTCACTTGCCACTGTCAGTCCTCTGCCACAGATCCCGTGCCATCTCTGCAGCAGCTTCAGTTGATGGGCAAGGCTCATTCATCTCCCACAGAAAACCAGCCATCCCCCATGCAGCAGCACAGTAGACGTGACATATGCAGAAGTACACCACTGTCAGGAGCTTAACAACAGGGAACAGCAGGCAGAATACCAAAAAACATCGTCATTTTGGAGCACATGCAAAAGGCATTTTGATGTGATAAGGGAACATATTGCTGTACTGTTAAGGCATATCCTTTCATGTCTAAATCCAGGTTTCCATGTCACAGTGCAGCAAGGATTAAGGCAGCATTATAACAGCTGCAGTGGTATTTGTCACAAGTGCCCTTTACTCCACTGAGGTTTAGGAAAGAATTGCAGACTCGGTGAAATTGCCCCTTATATCTGCCTTGAAAAAGGAGGAGAAAAGAGAGGTAGTTTAGCAGCTCACAATGAAAAGAAAAAGGACTGTGCACCAGCTTTGTTTTATTCACCCACCCCTCTTAGAAAAGTGGAAGTGAGAGAATGCTCTTGTTCGGGCAAACTGGTGCCCACCAGTGATCCCAAATGCCTGCTTTTAGGGCCATTTCGTAGGGATTCAGATCTGGAAGCAAAGGCATCCTCAGTCTCGCTGACCGCTTTTCTGTATGCCCTGTGCTTTTTACTGTTTATGGCTGCAGAAACACAGATGGGCTACTGCATACATAAACTGAAGTACACGACGGGTTTGCAACCAAAATTCTACAAAGATGAGAGTCTGTCTCCTATCCAAGAATAGCTAATTAATGCAAGACTCTGAAGTGCCATGGAAAATGTTAGAAAAGTTGGGCTGCCACCATTTTGTGATGTGACAGCTTTTATCTACCGTATGTGTGGGGAGGGGAGTTCAACCAGCACAGCATATGTTAAAACAAAAATTATAAACATATGTTAGGCTGCTAAAATTGGACATTTACCAGTCTGCTTAGCGATTTAGCTAAGCACTGAATTTTAGTTTTGAAAACTATGTAGGCATACAGCAGCAAACATCATTGTGTTGCCACAACCATATCTACATTGCATAGGATATAACAGAAATTATTTTGCATTCAATACTAATAATGAGTTCAGACTTTTTTTCAAGCTCATTTTAAAAAGCAGATATATTGTTGCACACCAGAA